GGGACAGAGAGCACATGTGGGGGAGTGGCAGAGAGAGAGGGGGACAGAGGACCCCAAGAGGGTTCTGTGATGACAGCAGAGAGCCCGACGCGGGGCCTGAGCTCACGAACCGTGAGATCATGACCTGAGCTGAAGTCGGACACTTCACCGACTGACCCACCCAGGCGCCCCTCTTTGCTTTTAATTTTTAAAAACACTGTGGTGAATACACATAATGTAAATTGACTATCTTGACCAGGCTTAGGTGTCCCTCTCAGGGGCATTAAACACAGTCACATGGTTGTGCAGTCACCACCAGCATCTCCAGAACTTTCTTCATCTTCTGGAACTGAAGCTCTGTCCCCTTTAAACACTCATTCCCCACCCCTCCGCCAGCCCCTGGCACCCCCCATCCTGCCTTCTGTCTCTGTGAATCTGACTCCTCTGGAGACCTCATATAAAGCAGCCATACTGTGTGTCCTCTTGTGTGTTGAAGTTACTGCCCGCATAACCAGTGGTGTCACTGTGTTGCCCGTGGCTGTCCACATCTGTCACGGAGTGGATGAACATAATAGTACCTATCTTCCAGGCGGGATTAAAGAGTTATTGGTCACAAATTGCTTAGACCAGTGCTTTGCTTATGGTCCCTGCCCTATACGGACTAGCTGTTGTTACCGCTTTTATTTCTAGGGAGACGTGAAGTTAAACCATATATAGAATCACTGGTCGGATTTATTGAGAGCTGAAGTTTGCTGGACAGAACCACGCCTTGTATTAGTTACCTATCACTCTGTAACGCATGACCCTAAATCACAGAGGTTTTGAGTAACTGGAAACCTTGGCTATCTCCCAAAGCTTCGGAGTCAGGATTTCAGGAGCTTAACTGCCCGGCTGTGGTTCTCGATCTCTGGGGGAGTCAAGGTGCTGGGCCTCGGGGCTGCTCTCATCTGAAGGCTTGGCTGGGGCTGGGGCCGCTTGCAAGGTGGCTCCCTCACCTGGTTGGCAGGTTGCTGCTGGATGTTTACGGGGTGCTCAGTGCTTCCCACATGGGCCTCTCCACAGACATGTGGCTCATTTCTCCCAAAGTTAGTGTTCCAAGAGGACAAGGCAGAGGCGATAATATCTTTTAGGATCTAGACTCAGAAATCACACGCCATCCTTTCCGCAGCCCCCTGTTGGTTACATGTGTTTGCCTTATTCATCGTGGGAGGGGGCTACACATGGGTGGGCTTACCAGAAGGTGGGGCTCTTCGGGCACCATTTTGGAGGTTGGTTACCACACCGGGCAAACATATGGAGGACTCCAGTTTGCTCCTCAATGTGAGGTCACAACAAAAACAGCCAGTGTTTGTTGAGTACTTCTTCTTAGGTGTGCAAAGTACCAACTCACTTAACCCTCATGGCCAGCCCGTGACAGGCTGCGGATATCCTCCCTGCTTGACAGATGAGAGAGCCGAGGCTGAGAGATGGTGAGGAGCTAGGTCAAGGTCATACAGTCCATAAGTGGTAAGGTTGGGACTCGAACCCAGGCCTTCTGGCTCCAGAGCCTGGATCTGAACCAGGATGCCAGGACCCAGAGGGTCTTTGAGGTCGGAGGGAGCACATAGTTTTCGGCGGGGGGCACATGGTTTTGTTGGTGTTGCGTTTTGTTTTAACCACCAAATTCGTTCATCATTTGAAATCTTTTGAAAAGCCCAGTGTATAAAGCCAAAATGCAGGGGCGCCTGAGTGCCTCAGTCAGTTAAGGGTCTGACTCTTGATTTTGGCTCAGGTCATGATTTCGTGGTTCATGAGTTCGAGCCCCACATCCGGCTCTGTGCTGACGAACCCAGAGCCTGTTTGGAATTCTCTCCCCCGCCTCCCCCCCACCCCCCGCCTCTCTCTGCCCCTCCCCTGCTTGCCTCTCTTTCTCTTTTTTATGTGAACACATATGTGTGTGTCTCTCTCAAAATAAATAAATAAACTTAAAAAAAAAAAAAAGCCAAAATGCAGAGTTGCCGTGATTCAAGTGCAGGCGAGGGGGTCCATCCTTACCCTTCAGGAGAAGGGGGGGTCCTCCGAGAGACCTGTGGGGGTTCTCCATTCAACCCCCAGGGTCATGGGGAGACTGGTTTGAAAACCACTACTCTGGTCACTCACAGATAGGGACCTGGAAGCCCAAGGGTTGTGGCTGGGTAGAGGTGAGCCCACCCCCAGCCCGGACTCTTCCCCACCTGCGGGGAAGCATGTTTGTCCAGGGTGTGGCTCTGGGGCCCTGACCCAGAGCCGGACCCGGACCCTGACCCTGACCCTGACCCTGACCCTGACCCTTCTCTGCTCCAGGATGGTGGAACGTTGCCTGCACATGTTCGACCGCATGGTCATCTACTTCTTCATAGCGGCCTCCTACGCGCCCTGGTGAGCATCTGTGTGCCGTTCCCGGGAAGGGCTGGCTTCTTCTCTTTTCTCTGAATTTCTTTTTGTATTTGGCTGGGTGACATGCTGGCTTGGCACAAAAGGGTGTGGGTAAAAAGATGCCCTCTGCCCATTCTCCTTCTAGAAGCATCTACATATTACCAGTTTCTTGTGTGTGTTTCCAGAGTTACTTTGTGCTAAAAGAGCAAATGTGTGCACACGTACATACGTGCGTAGTGATATTATAAATTTATATGTTTATACTTCTATTTTTCCTCCAACTTTTAGAACAAAAGGGAAGGATACCATACAAACTGCAAATTGCATTTGTTCTTGGTAATGTTGCCAGGGACACCTCGCGACATTAGTACATTGAAATGCGGCCTTTTTTTTTTTTTTAACGTTGATTTATTTTTGAGAGAGAGAGTGAGAGTGTACCAGCGTGAGAGGGCCAGAAAGAGGGAGACAGAGGATCCAAAGCAGGCTCTGTGCTGTGATCGCAGAGCCCGACGTGGGGCTCGAACTCATGAACCGCGAGATCATGACCTGAGCCGAAGTCAAGAGTCGGCTGCTTAACTGACTATTCCACCCAGGTGCCCCAAGATTTTCCCAATCTTTTCTTTTTTCTTTTTTTTTTTTTTT